GTTGTCAGTTGGGAAAATCGTGAGTTTGCGTAGGACTTTAACAGACCTACATTCACAGTAAAATTACAAGTGCAAAAACATGGACGTAGACAGAACTGTTGTGGTAGAGAGAGAGAGAGAGAGAGAGAGAGAGAGAGAGAGAGAGAGAGAGAGAGAGAGAGAGAGAGAGAGAGAGCCCGCCCGCACTAACTACGCGGCTGTCGCTGATGGCCTACTTTTCATTTAGACGCTTAGTCTTTTGTAAGAAGCATGGTGCCCGGTACCAACGAGTACAGTAAATTAATTAATTGATAACATAATCTCGGTACGTCTGTTACCCTCTGTCTGTCTGTCTGTCTGTCTGTCTGTCTGTCTGTCTCCTTCTCTCTCTCTCTCTCTCTCTCTCTCTCTCTCTCTCTCTCTCTCTCTTTCGTTATCGGACCCAATTCCGGCTGCCCCCGTCTCCTGGAACTCCTGCATCGCCTCAGGACACATGCCGAGGCCTGTGATGACATATCCCCCCTCCCCCCTTCCCGCTACGTCCAGGCCGCGGGCTGAGTTTGCCCGGGCACGGACGAGCGGACGAACACACAGCCGAGGACGGCGCCTGCGAGTTTCAGGGTAGACCACCCCGCAGTGCCCGCATGCACTGCAGGCAAGACGTTGCCTACCCACTAGGCGCTATGAGACGCAGACAGCGGCTGAACGGCCAGTTCGTCATGGCGGATTACTTACTTTCTGGATGACCCTACTCCGTGGACCGCTGACCGCTGGCCGCCCGGAGGAGGGTCCCCCCCCCCCTCTCTGTCTGTCTGTCTCTCTCTGTCTCAATGCCAGTCGTCCACTGCTCTCAACTCCAAACCATATGCTTCTTCTCATTACAGAGCATATGGCACACAAACTACCCGTTTTGACGGATCGGCCGAGCCGGCGCCGCTGCTCCATGAAGTACTGCCCACTATATTTGACCGGAGTGGCGGGGCGGGGTGCGGGGTGAGGTGGGGAGCAGCCAGTAATAACAACTCGGTCGAACAGTCCGTCAGCCAGCCCGACGCCGATCGCGCGCGGCCATGCCGGGCCTGGCCCATTGCACCACAGCCGCACCACGCCCCGCCCCACCCCGCCCCGCCCCGCCTCGCCGCACCCTTCTCGAGCGGGAGCGAGGAGGGAACGCCAACGCTGGACGCACCGTGCTCGACTCCGCAGCCCCAGACTTGGGACTCTGTGTGTGTGTGTGTGTGTGTGTGTGTGTGTGTGTGTGTGTGTGTGCATGCGCGCGCGCGCGCGCAAGCGTGCAAGTATGCGAGTTCATATGACTTGTATGTAGTTTGTAATATGTGCGGTGTGAGCTGTAACCTTTGCCGAAATTGCGAGGATGTATGGGCATATTCTTAAAGTGGACAGGTTAGTACACTCTCAATGGGGATTGACAGTTCGATGCGCCCTAACGAAAGAGTCCGATCTGCTTTGCTTCTGAACCAAAAGAGTCCGATCTGCTTTGCTTCTGAACCAAAAGAGTCCGATCTGCTTTGCTTCTGAACCAAAAGAGTCCGATCTGCTTTCGGCGCTCGTCGACCGCTCCGCATAAACTCTATGATATCTCGAAGCTTGAGAGGAAAAGTGTATATATTTTAGGGTGTACACATTCGTAAAGGTTAGGGTAACAAGCAAGTCTTTTTATTTTAGGTAAATTCAAAATATCCGAGGAGTTATAGCCCTCCAAAGATGCCTGACGTTCCATCGCCGAAAAGCAGATCGGACTCTTTTGGTTTCGCTGCAAAGCAGATCGAACTCTTTTAGTTCAGCAGCAAAGCAGATCGGACTCTTTCGTTAGGGCGCGTCGAGTTTCTGAACCTAGTTTAGATAATGTGTATTTGCGCACACCTCCCTACATACAAATTTGTATGTAGGGAGGTACAAGTTGTACCTAGGCTAAATACAAATGCATATTTTTGTATGTCACGTAGATACAAATTTGTATTTGATTTAGATGTGCACAAAGACACATCTAATAATACGCACACAAATTGTCCGAGGCCATTCAGTGTGTACTCTCGCCACTATGCCAGGTGGCTGATAAACCCCGCATGCAGGTGCGCGGGTGGGTAAGTCTACCGCAGCTGTAGCTGACCAAGGCGCCTTACGGCCTGAGTGACTTTGGCAACCCGCGCCCACACGCCTGCATGCGGTACAGTATACTTAAAATAAGGTCTGCGGGAATAGTCCGCCACCTGGTACAACCACCAACTTGAAATGATAGTTTTAACACTTTTCGTGCGGGGCCCTTTTTAAGAGCATATACCCACAGGCGGAGGGTTTTTTTTTTCGAAAAAATATTTTTTGCTCTAAAACCTAATAAAATACTCGGTTAGGCCCTCGGCACTACAGGGAAAATTTGCGACGGGTCCACCCGTGTGGACCCTGGTCCACAATGTGGACCCGCCGCACGGAAGGGACTATTTTGCGGGTCCACGGGTGTGGACCCGTCGCACGGAAAGTGTTAAAACTATTGATGTATGGAAACGTTTGCAGCCGGGCACCGCAAACTTAAGCCGAACGGGGTGCTGGACCACCGGGGTCCCTCACCTCTTTCGGAGTCGAAGCGGTGCGGTGGGCGCGGAAACGGAAAGTCCCTCCGTACCGGTCGAGCACCAGGATAACATGATGAAACACACAAGAGAAGAAACGAAAAATAAAACACGCCCCGATTCCGATCGGAGAGGCAGCGGGATCGACCGTGGAGGGGCGACGGGAAGGGGACATTTTTCAAGAGCACAACACTGTTACTACACACGTGCAAAAGTGTGCGAAGTTTAGTGTAAATCATCATCTGCAGGTGATCTTTGAGAACCCAGAGATGCTCGAATACTAAAAACTATCAAAGGTGCGCAACTGGCTAGCACCTTTCGAATATTAACCGCCATGTCGAATATATGCAGGTATCAGGTGCACTGTAAAAACAGCTGTGCCTGTACACACAAGGAACAGCATGCCTGCAGGCACGCTCGAGCAGGTGTGTGCCAACCAGGTCGACTCTTACAAATGCGTGCCTTCCTTGGTCGACTGTTGCAAGTGTGTGCCTGGCTGACACTTTCTTGTGCGTGCCCCGTTCCCGGCTGTCTCTTTTATGTAGATGGTCGACAGTTGGTTTTACAGTGTGCAAATGTAGGCTATGTGCTTAGAGGTGCTGGGCTGGAAAAGACAGCACGCAAAAATGGCCTTTTGCTAAAATAGCAAAAGCCACGTCTTTGCGTTTTGGTGTTGTAGCATAAATATTTTTGTTTTCACGGTTTTAGCAAAAGGTTTTGCTGTTTAATGTGCTTGTGCTTGGCAAAGCAGACCTCTGTCTCAGACCTTTTCCACGCACTTTCAGTTTAAGTTAAGAAGTCGCTCGAAAATATTTTCGCGGCCGCAGCGCTACTGGGCCGGGTGACTTTATCGTAACCATCTCTTTGTGTTCTGCTCTGCCCTCACCACACGTGTGGCGTTGTCCACACCGCAGACCGCAGCGTCACGCGCTTACTTCAAACGAGATTATCCACTCATTTGAGATATTATCCACTCATTTGAATCTCCCGCCCGTACGCGTCCTGCCACCGAGGAGTCAGTCGTGCCGCCCGGGTCAGTTGCGGCCGCGGAATAAAACCGTGACCACGCCACGCCACGCGGGTACGCCCCTTAATCACTCTTATCACTGTCCGGGCGGGGAATTCCCTTACAACTAGCCAAGAACGACACCACAAAAGACGTTAACGAAGGATGCGCGACGCGGGCCGGGTAGGGAAGGCCACCACCAGAATACGCTGAAAAACAAAGTATGCGCAAAGTATGCAGAATTTACCGCATATCAGTATTTAAGCGTAAATTGCCGAATGCCGAATACCTTTGTATTGAACACACAGCAGCACACAGCCTTTGGGATAGAGTTCCAGGTGTGTTCCGGTCAGTATCTCCACCAGCATTCTTGGTAACCTTGGAGTAAGGCAGTACCACACCCTTTCGTGCAGCACCAAAATGTGTCCCACACTTTTCGGTGTGAGGCACTTCATCTGTGTCCTACACCTTTTGTTGTGATGCACAGTGCGTCTTATACTCGATAGTGTGGCACACCAAAAGGTGTAGGACAAACTGCTGCGCCTCCCGCCAAAAGGTGAAGAACTCAAATGCTAACACCAAAAGATGTAGAACACTGCCTGCAGCAAAGGGTCTTCGACTGTCCCACAAGGGAATTCCAGAGAACGCAATAGCTGAGAATGGTATCTTTTCGGCACTCGCGCGTAAGTAACCGTGTATGTGGTATTTGTACGTGAGAGAGAGAGAGAGAGAGGGGAGAGAGAGAGAGAGAGAGAGAGAGAGAGAGAGGACATGAATCCAGGAGCACCGAGCCCGCGAATGTGTGTGACGGTGGGGGTGGGGGGAGCCACCCTTCCCCTACATCCAGCAGCCTCCCCCCTCCACACACACACACACTCAAACAAGCGCGCACACACTGCAGCAGAAGCTGACCCCCGCCCGCCCCCTCCCCTCCCCAGAGAGGCTGGCTGAGGCGCGCTGGCGGGGCCCCGGCCGCGCGCGAGCCGCTCTGCGCCGTGAGTCCAGCCCGACCCGCAGACAGGTACCCCACGGGACCACTACCCGTACCTGGGTCCCGGCCGGCCGCAGCTCGCCGCCCGCGCAGCCCGCGCACCCAACGACTGACTCCCTATGACATGACACAACTGCTGAATATACAGAGAACAACTATTTTTCTTTTATAATTCACACACGAAAACCAGAGATACTCGTTGACGTGTGCACTTTGCTGTCGCTGCAGCTGCACCCGAGACACTGCGACTGCATCCCCTCACGGACAGACAGAGAGACAGTGCATTCGGGCGGGGCATCGGCGGGGCGCCGCGACGCGTCTGTGGCGAGGCGGAGTGACCGCGCGTGACCGAGCGTGACCGCGCGTGACCGGTCGGGGTGTCATTGTGTGCGTGCGTTGTGCGAGTTGGTGACAAGTGCCGCCGTCCATCGACGTTCCTCCTTTACTCGAGTGGATTACCGACTCTTCAGCCGGCGCCGCAAGATTTTGTGCACGTGTGCGTTTGTGTGTGAGTGTCCGTGTGACTAGCTTGTGACCGTCTTGTGATTGGCTCGTGCCGGAACGGGAGAAGCCAGTTCACCAGCTCAGACAAAGCAAGGTGAGTGCAAGTGGCCTCTGTGGCAGATATGTGCGTGCGAGTGGTGACTCCAGGGGGAAGCACCAGCAGTACGGCGCCATACGCCGGGTGCGACCAGAGCGCCACTATTCGCGCAAAGAGTGTGAGGTTGTTTTACGAACGAAACGCCAGTTGCTCAAGATTATCTGCATCAGACCTAAAACAACAAGTATTAGAGGAGCTGCTGCTACGCTTCGCTTATGGCACTATTTGAATCCTCGTTCGCTTGAAACGTTTTTTGAGTAGCCAGGTTATCTTAAGAGCTAAAACAGAATTATTTGTAGCTCACAGACGGTTCCATTTTTTTTTCTTCAATTTCAAGTACTTTAAGAAAAAAAATAGAGGTTCTTTTAGAAAAATGCACAAAGTTTTCATTTTCCTGAAAGCGATCGCATCCATCAGTTCTGATTTTGATACACCCTTAAAAAGAACCTTGTACTGAAACGACCTTTTCAATTGGTTATTCACACGCACTCTGAAAACTCAACAGCATGCATTGCATGCGTTTTATAAAGCATGCATGGTATGCATGCTGTATTTAACGCATGCATTGAGATGCATGCTGTTTTTAACGCATGCATGGAGATGCATGCTGTATTTAATGCATGCATTGGGATGCATGCTGTTGCTCCAACTCGTTTTTGTGGAATATTTACTAAGTAAGCTTTTCGGCTTTATTTTTGATAAGCCCATCGGATTCCTTGTGAAATTTCCGTTCGAACGAGCCTACATGTGATGGGGCCCTGATGCATAGTTACTTCGTAAGTTCAGTTTAGCGGGTTTTTTAAAAATTATATTTGAAGCGTTGGTATTCAAGTTGGGAACCCCATCACATGAAGGCTCGTTCGAACGGAAATTTCACAAGGAATCCGATGGGCTTATCAAAAATTAAACCGAAAAGCTCACTTAGTAAATATTCTACAAAAACGAGTTGTAGCAACAGCATGCATCCCAATGCATGCATTAAATACAGCATGCATCTCAATGCATGCGTTAAAAACAGCATGCATCTCAATGCATGCGTTAAATACAGCATGCATACCATGCATGCTTTATATAACGCATGCAATGCATGCTGTTGAGTTTTCAGAGCAAAAAAAAAAAGAGATGACAAAGCTACCGGAAAAGCTACTTCCTTAATAACTAGTCACATTGATTTCTAGAAAGTAAGAATTTAGATAGAAGAGCCAATTATTAGATAGGGTCGCGAAAATTTGGCTAGAAGAGATAATTCCGTACTAAAAAGATGCCTTAATCCGATATTCGTCGCTATTCGGATTTTTTAGCAAACAGATTAAGGCAGCTCATGATAATTGGCTTGCATAACAAATTTCTACCTGTCAGAGGTCAATTTGATTAGCTCTGACAGCAAATCTTTTTGTTGCGCGACCAAACAAAGAATGGTGCTCTGACACAACATTTCAGAACTTTTGTTTCTGTGTTAAGTCTTTTGTTCAGGGAAAGCTTGGTCATTAGTAGGTAGTAATACTAAACAGGGCAACCTAGTAGAAAAACCAGGGGCATTTAACTCTGTCTCTTTTTACATTTTTTTCAAAATTTTCTTCTGGAGAAGCGTTTTAGGTAGGAAAGCCGCGCGTACACCCAGAAATTTTTTTTTTTTATTTTTAGGTAAATTTTTTCTTGTTTCAAGTGCATGCTGACACAAGATCAAATTTTTGTTTTTGGAAACAAAGATACCCTGTTCAAAACAGTAATCAATTATAATGTTTGTTTGGTCACAAAAGAAGTTTTTCCAGCAAATATTTCTCTAGCATCTTGATGAATTGACACCATAAAATCATTATATGTTAAGATTAGTTTGATTTTAAACCACTACGCACAACGAATAATACTCGTTATTGTTAATTACGAACTATTCGTGACAGATTATTATCGTGCAGTGGCGAAACTCATTAACATAGTATGAACGATGGCTCCATTGAAAAACAAACTGTGCAACTGCTTCACACATATAAGTATCCAGCTACAAGTCAAATACTTGAAAGAGCTCAACTACGTAGTAGCAGTAGCAAACTTGCAAGTGTTCCCAAGCAATAAGCGTCTATTCTGAGGTACTGTGGCGCTGCGCACTTTAAACTGCACAGCTTTCGAGTCACTTGCAGATGTACCCTTGGTTTATCAGTGTAAGATGGCTCTGCTTGACAGACGAAAAGGAATGCCCATTCCCTGTCTGTCTGTCTCTCTCTGTTGGTGCTGACCCACGGGCAAACACATGACTGAGCCAACACAACGGTCTGTTTTGTCATGGACCATTATGCCACTCGGTTGTGTGCAACACGTGCGCTTTTGTTCTTCTTAATTATGATATTGTGCGTCGGGCCCCGATTGGCCGACGAGATGTTTGTGCTAGTCGCTGATTGGTTCTTTTTAAAGACCTGAGTAACCCTTGACCTGATCCAGAGATGGAAATTTGCGAGGGGAGGGGGTTTTACATGGCCGTATTCACATGCCTCTGATATGGGTTTACTGGCATTTACAATATTTACAAATGTAAACAGAAATTTAGATTAAAATTTCATATCCACTGCGAAAAATATGTTCGTTCATGTACGACACATTTTGTAATTTGCCATTTACAAAATGTGTCGCACTTGTACAGTACAACCTCCCTCCAAGCACCCACTGGAAAAAAGGTAGGACTTGATGGATTTTAAAGGTACAAAATTTTAATGCATTTAAAACATGCACGAAAGTATCCAAAGGCACGAAAATTTAGCACCTTTGGGGCCTTTCCAGGGGTGCAAATCTTTCGTGCCTCTGTAAAGGCACGAGAGACATTTACAACCCAAGAAGAGCGCTGATTCATACCTTTGTTTTTCCAGTGTAGACTTTCAGATCAATTCATCAGTAAAGCCCACGAGCCGTTTAGCATGCTGGACCGCAGTCAGCCAGTAGAAGGGAGGGAGGAAGTGCAGGTCCCTTGGCCTCTTTATTTGTGCGGGTTGCTTTCCCGGTCCGAACGGGAGCACATTCAGTCCTGTGATATAACACCCCTCGAGCGGGCAACGAGCGGGCAACGAGCGGGCAACGAGCGGGCAACGAGCGGGCAACGAGCGGGCACCGGGCGCGCACGGTGCAAGAGCGCGGTCGCAGCTGACCGGCCCGCCCGGCTGGCCCCTGGCCCATAAGGCTCTGTCCTTGTTATAAGCTGCATTATCTCAAACACTGTAAATACTGGTCATTGACGACTTTTAAAACAGTAAAAAAAGCTGAAAAAATCTCGTTGGTGGTCAGGCCCCGTTCACTGTGCTTGCGACTTAAGTAAGACGCACAGTCTGATGAGTCATGATGGGTCTCTTTTCAAGTCTCGACACTTGTATACGTTATGACTACTTTGGATTAGCGTTTAGACGAACAAGGATAAAACCGCAGACATATGTTTCTATCACAGGTAAAATAGCAAATGCACGTGACTTCTCACTTGATAGCATTAGTATGTCCAGTTTTCAAGCCCATGTTTCGCAGGCGTGGATTAAGGGGGGGGGGGGGCGATCGCCCTCTGTCTTCTCTAGAGAGCCGCCTGAAAGGTAGGCAATTTGCTCCCCAAAACCCCTGTATGTAGGCAACCGACAGTGCATCGGCCCCCCTGTCAGCCGGTCCTTAATCCGCCACTGATGTTTCGTAATAAGTCCGTGTGTGGTTCTAATTTCGCGATCCAAAAAAGTCAATCTGAACGGAAAAGGCGAAAGAGGAGGGATAGTGCGTTTAAAATGCCACATACTTTTACATTTACAAACAAGAGGGCAGCGCCGACATATTTGTATTTTTACTCATTTACTCCGTTCTAAAGACACTCATTTACACACTTAAAAGTGTTGGAATGTCACACACACACTTTAGACGGATTATACTGCTGAGGTGTATCGGGTACTCGGTGGTACTCGGCCTGAGGGTGCGGCAGCTGCAGTGAGCGGTCCGGCGGCCTTGGGCTGCTGGCCAGCGAGGCACCGCGAGGCACCGCGAGGCACCGCGAGGCACCCACCAAGGCAGGTGCGCTCAGGAGGCTACCTTTCTTTTGGGGGAGGGGGTACCTCTTGCACCGCTGCTCCAGTATATTTCACGACATTTCTTCGATTTTCTTCCAAACGCCGCGGTTCATACAGAATACTTGGTTGGTTTTCTGGAGTAGGTTGAAAATTCATCGTAATGAATTATACGACGGGCATGTTTGCAAGAATCTTAGAGTAATCAGGGCGATGCACAGAAAGAGGATTAAAGTATGCAGTAAAAATCTCAAACCGTCATTTGGACAGAAAAATATGCACCACCCTGGTAAAACAAGTGTGCAAAATTTACACACCAGTGTCTGAAGGTCAGGATTTTGCACACTACATGGTGTCTAACTAAAGTTGCACCGTTGCACACTTGCGTGATGTTCAAAGTTTAGACGTTTTGAAAATGTCTAAATTCTGCACACTTGGACACACACAGGTCTATGCCATCAATAGGAAGCATATGGTGTACAGCTGCTGTACTTTTCGGAAATGTCGAGAGTTTCAAACACCAACTGACGTAATAACCTAGTTAAGCACAACAATGTGTCTAGAAAATGCACACTTGAACTCAAACATCAGTTGACGAGCAAAATTTAACACTTGTTTTACCAGTACGCCACCAAGATGGATTTGGGTGTGTGTCCTTTAAAATAAAGCTAAAGACAGACGCCCACGCATGGTGATGGGAAGCGAGGTTCATAGAGGACGTCCACTTCCATATATATTCTAGTGCCGTCCTTGCGTATAAGTTAAATAAAATTTCTCGCCATTTCGCAACGAGCCAAAGAGAGAGAACGAGAAAGGGAGAGGGAGAGAGAGAGAGAGAGAGAGATTGATTGATTGATTGATTGTTTATTTGGGCTTAAGGTGGGGTACCAAAAGGACTGAAAAGTCCCACGAGAGCTACCACACCGCTCTCTAGTTACAAATCCACATTTGAAACAACAAACAATTAAATCATAAAGC